AGAAGGAAGAGAATGGAGGAGAAAGTGAGAAAAGGGAATAGAGGGCAGAAAATTGAACAAATAAGAACCAAAGTCATGTTCATGTTCCCTTAGAAGTCATTATAATTTAATCAGCACTGAAGTGACACTGAACATTTTCAGGCATCTAATTACGCAAATAATAAGGTAAATACTGCCAATTCTATTATAAGTGCACTTGCGAAGAGGGGAGGGTAAACGGGTGGTCCTCAAGCGCCGTCGCTTAGGGCGCTTCTCGCAACCACGGTCTTTATAAGCATTTCTGTAGACCTTGCTCACAACTTTCCTTATAACGATAGACAGATGAAAAAAGAGTTAAGACTCATCTTAAGATAAATAAAGCAGCGGTAAACTCCCAAGAACAAGTAAAACCAACATCAGTAATCACTAAGACAATACGAATAATAAAGTCATGGGAGCAACACCTCCCCTCTAGGAAGGCCAGAAATCAAGTAACTCTGCGGGAGACGGGATGTCCACACAGGAGCTCACGAACCCCTGAGTCGAACTTTAATTTCTAATTTGTCTCCACTAACTATCAGTGACTGTAGTTCAGGTATTAATAAAAGCTTCCAAATTCTAGATTCACCGGGTTGAACAAAAGATCGCACGGACGCTGAAGAGACAGGCAGCCAAGATTCACCAGAACCTCCACACGGATCTCAAGAGGCTGCGGGAGGTAAGAGAAGAAAACCAAATTGGTCTCCTAGACTTAGCTTTTTAGTCAAGGGCGTGTCACGAGATGGTTTATTTGGTTGCAATAAACCATCGACACCTATATGAATATAGGTGTCGGTTTATTTCTGCCATGGGAAATATTTTTTAGGTATGGAAATCTATTGATTTGGACCGTGGAATTTTTATTTCGACATATACTTAGATTTTGGTCACATTCTAAGAAGCATTTCGTCTATCATTCCCGCTGCAAATTAGTAATATGATATGTTACCGAGGTGGTAAAGCCCACGAATTCCAGGATCTGCATCGACCGTCGGATACGATAGCTGCTGATGGCGTATGCGAGAGAAATCAACCGAGCCAATTAAATTCGCGTTCGAATTTCGACGCAGTCAAGCTTCATTTCCAAATTTACCCTACTGTCGATCTGTTTAACCGCTTATCGGTTTACAATCAGTATTCTTCCCTGCAGTAGGATAATCTGGCCTTACCTTCTTATCAGGTGGTGACAGCTCTCTCGGTTCTTGACCACGACTCGGAGGAGAACTGCAGCAAACTCAAGCACTACGCGAGCCAGCCCACGATTCCTCAGGGCGAGGCCGACGGCGAGGACGAAAAAGACCACTCCCCGCCCCGATCGGCGACGTCGGAGCAGCCGTCGCCCGCCACCGAGCGTATCAACACCTTCCGACAGGCGCTGTCCGAGGCGGCCGTCAACAATGTGGGCAAGGTGGGTTCCTGCCGGTGGGCCCTCTCTCTCTCTCTCTCTCTCTCTCTCTCTCTCTCTCTCTCTCTCTCTCTCTCTCTCTCTCTCTCTCTCTCTCTCTCTCTCTCTCTCTCTCTCTCTCTCTCTCTCTCTCTCTCTCTCTCTCTCTCTCGCTCTCTCGCTCTCTCTCTCTCTCTCTCGCTGTCTGTCTGTCTCTCTCTTTCTGTTTAACTATTTATTTTGTTTATTTACGCAATTCTCAATATATTTTATAATCAGAAGTAGCGGCACTAACCTCTCGTGTGCTCTTGCAGAAGGACCGGTTCCGCAGCCTGTCGTCTCTGGAGGACGTGGCTCTGTTCCTGGAGATGGTGGAGTCGCTGCTTCGCGAGCACGAGGCGGGCATCGCGAAGGAGGCGGACGACCAGGCGCATCACATCCTCAGCGACGTCGACTCCAGCTCTTCCGACGACGACTCCTTCGGCACGGTAACGACGGACTTCCTGCATAAGGAGGACCTTGAGGCTGGCTTCTGCAATCAGGCTTTCGTTGGCGACAAGGGTGAGGTCGAGGGCACGAAGCAAAAGCCGCGGCCCGACGCCGACGACGCCAGCAGAAAGGGCACGAAAGAGGATGAGCCCTGCGTTAACCAGAGGGTGCAGCAGCGGCTAAACTCTCTCCTGATGGAAGTAGACGCTAAGTCGACCCGAGGACTCCTGCGCCAAAAGTCACTAAAGAAAGGCGTCACTTCTTCGGGCCAGCTCCTGGGCGAGATGGAGAGCATCGTGTGCAAGCCCTTCTCCAACCCAGACCTCTACGTCGCCTGCGGCACCAGCGACTGCGACTCGGCGTCGAATTTCGATCGTCGAAGCTGCAACTCCGTCCCGGGTTGCATCAAGACCGGCTCCACGAAATCGTGCACGAACCTTTACGACGTCTTCCCTACGCTGCCCTCCTCGTGCGATGCCGCCGACCACGAGCCTGCCTCCCAGCATGACCCCGAGCAGCGAGCCGGCCGCCGCTGGTCCGTCGGGAGCGAGAGTCGCCGGCAGGAGGCCTCGCGCGACGGCCACCACGCTCCCCACAACTTCCTCGCCGGCATCAAGCTGTCTGCGGGGAGGAGCGCCAAGGACCTGAGCTCAACGCTGTCTCTGCTCTCCCAGTGGATTCACGGCAGCGCTCACAAGACCCAGAACCTGCAGGAAGCGGAGAAGGCGAGAGAGAAAGAGAAGGACAGCGCCAGTAGTGACGAATCGCAGGAAGCCACTAAACCTCAATACACGCGGTTGTAATTGTATATTAAGATATCTTTTTTTATTTATGATACTTTGTGGATCCAAAGTAGTACAAAAATCATAAGCTTAAGTCAAGCAATACGTCTTATTAATCAAATAAATATATGAAGAACCATAATACTGCAGTGTGTCACTAAATAGTCATATAGCATGTATTTAGTCAGGGTGGGACCTGCAAAGTCATATTTCTATAACGGATTTCCAAAAGAGCGTAAATTCCATGAACAGGTCCTCATTCTGAGAAACATCGATTTTCTTATCAATGGACTAATTATCAACTAATCAACTGTAGCTGCAATGGGCGGAACCAACAGCTAAGCACAAGGAGAAGGTTGCAGAGCCAAGTCGCGACGGCGTACAGGAGGCGTGTCAGATGTGATTTCATCTTCCATGGAGCCCCATTCCCACTAATGGAGGGTTTTAGGTGGTGGGGCTCCCCAGTAACGACAAAATAGATACATAAAAATTCCTTAGAATATATCATACCCTCTCCATCCATAAGGTCTAGGATCGTCACTATTTTTGCTTAGTACCTGCGTAGCCTAAATTTGACGGATTTCAAGATGTGGATCTTGTTTAGAGAATTATCCTAAAAGAGAATTATAAACTAATTGCCAGTGTTAATCCCAGTGCGTTTGCTTTTAAAATAGTGTAGTTTCCCCTGAATCAATAGGCGGTTTCTGTCAATTTACGTTTTTTTTTATTATATTTCGGTTTGCGTTCTATACACACAATAAATAGATGTAATGCAGACACGCACATATTTTTTATCATGTTTCTGTATATGGCAAAGGGAATACATTTTATAACTAATGT